CAGCTAGCACCTCGTGCAGCCAGGGGCTGAACTCGGCTCTCGGTGATAGTTGGCTCCCCCGGGGACGCCGCGCTCAGTGCTTAGTGGTCGAGCCTGGCCAGTGCAGTGGCACTGCGACTCGGTCCAACTGCCCGCACCGAGCTGACACACTTCAAGCCCGAATTTCATTAGGCTCGCGAGGAATTCGAGAACCTGGTTTTGCGAGAGGCCACACCCATGGCAGAGTAAATCCGAGGGGCGTCAGCAAGATTAAAACGGCCAGGGGCAAACGCACGCACGCAAGCAGAGGGCACCCACTCAGCCTAACGCACGCACACACGCACACACACAGAGGCACGTCACAGTCACACATGCACACACACAGACACAAACACCGGACTCTCTCACACACAAGGACCCAATCCGCGGTGTTCGCACCGGTACTGACACTGACCGACGGTGACCGACCGGGTGCCCGGGTACCTCGGGTACCGCCCCTGCCGCCTGTTGCTCTCGGCGGCCGAGAGCGCGTAGCGGCGTAGCGCGAGGCGGCAGCGCGTCGGCAGGCTCCTGGTGAACTGTGCTGGGGCCTTGCCGCCGCTGCCGACCGCGCCCAGGCCACCCCGACAGCCTCCCCGCCCCCACCGCGGCCCGCCCCCACCCCTGCCGGCCGGGCCTGTGGCAACACGCCGCCTCCGCCGCCTCCGCCGCCTCCGCCGCCTCCGCCGCCTTGGCTGTCCAAGCCATGCAAATCCTCATACAAAAGGCGTGGGCGGCTGCACCTGCACCGTAACGGCGAAAGTTAAAGCCAACTCGCAACTTGCCGTTAGCAGTGCTAGCGGGGCGTGGCGGGGCGTGGCGGGGCGTGGCGGGGCGTGGCGTGGCGGGGCGTGGCGGGGCGTGGCGGGGCGTGGCGGGGCGTGGCGGGGCGTGGCGGGCGGCGCGGCCATGCGGGCGCACCGCTACTCGGCGTGGTCGCGCCACCCGCTCGCCTTAACTAAAAACCCCTTCCCTCGTCCGCTTACATCGGCGAGGGAAGCCCGGCGACTATCGACGCCGTACCTGGGCTGCGCTGCGAGGGGAGGCGGGGGCGGGGATGAAAAATTGCCGCTCCGCGCCTCATCGCGAAATATATCTATGGTAATGCGGGGAAATACAGTTACGCCCTATATAGGGCCTATCTGCGCGAGCATCCCGTGCCGCGCCGCGCGCGCCGACCAAATATCAGAGTCACCAGCAGCGGAACGGCGGAGCGGGGAGGGAAGAAATGGCATTCTCGGCTGCTTCCGAGCAGCGCTTACTTCACCGAGGCGCCGTGGGGGTGCGAGAGAGACACAAAGCACTCTCTTTCGGGAACGAGCAAAAACCCGCGGCCCTGCTTGCTCGGAGCTCCTCTGCCTGGCGGCCTGGCTGCCCGGCTGCCTGGCGCGGCGGTGATTTGATTTAATTTGCAAACTCAAAGCGCAGCGCGGTGCGCGGTGCCGTGTGCTGTGTGTGCCTCGGAAAGCGCAAGTTGCCAAATTTCGTTATTGAAGGTGTAACGCGTGCGGACGCTGCCTCCAGGCTGCCTCTCGTCTCGTCTCCACTCCAGGGCTGCTCCAGGCTCCAGGGCGCTCGGCCCAAGACGTGGCTCGCCTGCCCGCCTCCGGGTATTGGCACACTTCTGACCGCAGCAGGGAAGACGCTGGGGGAGGGGAGGGGGCGGGGTGTGTGTCTAGACATCAGTCTGCTCGGGGCAACGCCAATTCTCTACCGTCCATTTAATAATGACGCAAACACCGGGGGGCGCTAGGCCGACCGGAAGTGACGGCCTTCCAGCGTAGGCGTCCTGGCGTCCAGGAGAGGGGCGGGGCGGAGTGGCGGACCGAAATGTGACGCGGAGTTTTCTTTCGACGCTCGGACTGCCGCGAAAACTAATAAGAAGCGGTGCAGCTTCGCTCCCCGGGACTGATAAAGTTTAATTGGAGTTTGACGGCGAGGGCCTCGGCCTCGGCGCGCCTCGCCCGCCGGAGTAAAGTGTCGCGCGGCGACCGGAAACAGGAGCGGGCGGAGCGGCCGAGCGGCCAGAGCGGCAGAGGCAGAGTTGGCGGCGACGGCCCAGATTGCAGCGAGTCCGGTGTGTTGGTGCAGAATGCCATTATGGTCCGGCGCGTCCTGCCGCTCTGTGTGTGTGTGGGGGGGGGGGGCGTGTATTTGTGTGAGGGAAAAGGCGGCAGAGGGAGGGGAGGGAAAGCAGAATGTCTAAGCAGCGGCGCTGCCCCGCCAGAAGACTCCGAGTTGACAGAAGCTGCGGCGAAGGTGGTCATGGTGTGGTCATGGCGGCGGTGGCGGGGAGGGGCGGACTTAATCCGGGCGGCGACTGCGGCCTCGCTGCGGCACCGCGTTTGTCGTCGTGTCCAGCCCAGCGACGTGCTTCCAGCGCTTCCAGCAGCGACGCCTGGCGCGAGCCGGACGCACCAGAGGTGTACCAGACGCACCAGAAGTGTACCGGAAGGGGTACCGGAAAGGGTACCGGACGCACCAGAGGTGTACCGGAAGGGGTACCGGAAAGGGTACCGGACGCACCAGAGGTGTACCGGAAGGGGTACCGGAAGGGGTACCGGAAGGGGTACTGGACGCACCAGAGGTGCACCGGAAGGGGTATCGGAGGGGGTACCGGACGACGCACCGGCCGAGGTCGGCCCACACGCCGAGACGCAAGACGCAGGGCCGCAGCGCCGAGGGGGATCATCGCTAACCCAGTTTCGGCCGCAAGTTGCCGGTTCGGCCGCGGGGGGCGCCTCGGGCGGGGAATGCAGGGGCACGCGGGGGAATGCGGCCAAAGAAGCGGCAAAGGGTGCGGCGGCAGGAACCGCGGAGCGGAGCGCGGAGCGAGCCGCGGATCTGCAAGGCGGGGCGCGGCGGCGCGGCAAGAAGGGTGCGGTGGCGGCAAGTTCAAACGCTGTACGCCCCGCGGCGCGGCCCCGCCTGCAAGCATGGCCGCGTTCTTTGCCTCACACACACACACACACACGCACATACACACGCACAGCGCCGCCATCGCGGGACCACTAATTATTATCTTACCCCGCGGAGTGCACGGCGGCCTGCCTCCGCCCTGGGCCGCCTTGCCCGCCTTGCGCTGGTCATAAACCCGGCCTCCTTAATCACCCCAGCGCCCTTGTGATCCGGCCGAGCCCGGCCGAGCCTGGCCGAGCTGCTTCTAAGTTTACGCCCCCGGAGACCTGGCTGCCTGCCTGGCTGCCTGGCCACGTGCTGGCCGCCAGCCCTGCCTGGCCGCCGCGCCGGGGAGCATCGCGGACAATGAAAGCTCATTAGTGTGCTGGAATAAAGGCCACCATTAAGGGTGCGCCGGCCGCCGGCCTGCCCCTGGCCGCCACAGCGTCGTCTTGCGGTGCAGGGCCTCACCGGCCGAGACGGTGACGGAGACGAGCCCGGCCGGCAGCGCGCGCGGCAAGCGCCCGACGAGCAGGCCATGCCAGCCCGCAGAGCAGGCGCGGCGGCGGGCCGGCCTACCTCGCAGGCGGCGAGGTCCACCCTAGGGGCTGCGCTGTGTGTGTGTGTGTGTGTGCGCGCCGTGTATTTTTAAACAGCAGGTGTGTGTCGACAGAGGCCCCTGCCCTGCGCCCGCTCCACCGTATCCCCCCGCGAAGACTCCGCGGGGGCCCGCCTGAACGGCGAGGAGGCACTTTAATGCGCCCCTCGTACCGCGCGCAGGGAGATCGCGGGGAGGGGGTGGGGAACCACTCGGGCACTCGCGGCGGCTCGACTCTTCGGAAGGAGAGAGAAAGAGGAAGGGGAATAATGGACGAGGCAAACGGTTTGCAAAGCTGGCCGCAGAGTGACTCGCGTCGCGGCCAACTTCTCGACGAACGCGGTATGGCGAAGCCGCGCCAGAGAAAATGGGGGAAAGCAGTTTAAAAAGTGCGAGTGTGTGCGCCAGGTTGCGCGCGTGGGCGAGCGTGTGTGCGTGCCGGCCCCGGGAGCGTCACTTTAGCGCGGCTTCAGAGGGAAGGGACTTTGGTCGTTTCATTTTCGTTTAACTTTGTCGGCCGCCCCGCAGTTTTGGGCGGCGAGTCCCGGACACGGCAAACACTGGTCACCGGTCGGTCACCGCGAGGCGGCACCGCACAGAAGACACCGCAAACGAACAATTTCGGTGGTGAAAATGGACAAAAGTGGACTAGCCAGCGAAAACAACTTGGAAGGGCACTGACCTGCAATGGGAGATTCCACCGGATTTGAACCCCAAAGCGAGCGTCTAGACTCGTTCTGCCCCTCCCCCTGTGTGCCTCGGTGTGCCTGTGTACGCCTCCGTGCCTCAAACTCTGCCTCAAGCGAGTTCATGTTGCTGGGCCCCCGCCGGCACTACGGCCCCACGGCCCCACGGCCCGCAGTGTCTCAACTCGGGACAAAGATACACAGCGAGACGGAAAGAGACAGAGAGGGCTGGGGCGGACGCGTGACTCTGTTACGAAACGGCTGCTGGGGCGCCGCGGGGGCTGGAGGGTGGGGGCACGGCAGTGTTGATAGCCTTGGCTGTTTCTCCGACACATCGCGTTGTTCCACTCGCCACCCTTTATCTAATTCGTGGGCAAGGCGTCCCAGACAGATGAAGCCTTCAAATTCATAACATCTGTTTTCTACGGAGTGGTTTGGGAGCAGTATCGCCGCAAAGTGGTTCAGCCCCACTCTGGCTCTGACGCATGAAGCGTCGATCGATCCGCGTTAAAATTGTAACGAGCAATGGCAGTCCACCGCCAGCACCACCAGTGCGACGGCGCGGCCCCGCAGCGCAGCCTTCGCTCCTCCACTGCTGTGTTGCCGATGACTGTGGACAGTGTCGGGACAGTGTCCACACAGTGGCGGCGGCAGTCGGCCTCGATGACCGGCGGCCGGTCCACTCACAGACACACGACTGCACCGAGTCCACACAGCGGGCACATCACATGCGCACAGTGGGCCAGAAGACCGCTGGAGCTGGAGGCGACAGACCGACCCGACTACAACGAGTGACTCACCTTCTCTGCCGAACTTGCGCTTCTTCTTGCTGCTGCTGCCGAGGGTGGCGCTCTTCTCCCTGGGCAGCGTCTTGTCCTTCTCCTTGTCCTTGCTCTTCCAGCGCGTCAGCATGGTGGCGGGTCGCGCATGTCCCTCCTACACCCTGCGGACCCTGCGAGAGGCGCACACCGCCAGTTCAACACTCCGAACGCCACTCGGTGGCTTCGGCGCGCGACCTCTGACCCTGGCGGGGCGAGGCGGCGAGGCGGGTTTCAAAGCGAGAAAGTCCCCCCTCCCCTTTCCACAAGTCGCGAAAACACAACAAACGGCCCGCGGCGGGAAAGCCGCGCTCTGCATTATGCATGCAGCCATACAGCGGACTGATTCCGAAGGGCGTCGCCCGCGTCGCCCTGTCTCCGTCGCACTCACGGGACGCCCGCGACGGCGCGAGAGAGACAGAGCGAGTCTTCGGCATCGCTCGGCGGGGCGTGCGTCTGACGCGTCGTCTCGGAGACAAGTCTCTCCTGTCCCTACACTGTTGCGGCGCTAGCGTGCTAGCCAGGCAGGTGGCGGACAGGTCCGCCTTCCCTTCGCAATCTGCAGTTCACCGACCCGGGGACCCGTGGGCGGGGCATTGCACTGCAGTGGCAATGGGCCGAAATGAAGGAACCGGAGGGCCTCGTCCTCCCCCTCCCGGAGTCCCTGGCCGTGCCGGGGCCCCGGTCTCGGGGCGCGAAGCGAACGCGGCCCATCGCACGCCACCCCCCGGCCGCCCCGCCCCGCCCCGCCCCTCCACACGTTTCGAACAACGCACCCCGAAGAGCAAGGCTCGCCTACCTCTACCGTCGGGATGCGTTCCGGCGCGTTCGCTCGATACGGTGCGTCGGAGCCGCCAAAGAGGAAAGGCAGCGAAAAGCGGCTACGGGGAACCGGGTTCCGGGAACCGGGTTCCGGCTCTGGCCAGCGTGCTTTCAGATCGCGCGCACGTTACCGCTACCAGTCAAGTTAAAAATGGAATGAACATTAACCGGACATTAACGCGATGCTGGGAAGGATGCTTACTGAATTCATCGTAAACATTGGCAATAAACGCCGATAACACCCCTTGCAGTTAACTAGATCAAAATAGTAATGCCGACCATTGCTTATACCCATACAGATCTAGACGGGAACCCCATTTGAAAAATCCCTAAACGAAAACAAAGTAAAATAAATTTCGGTTCGGTTTTCGGAAGTGTTCGCGGAAGGCAACAAGGCCTTTGTCGCAGGCCTCTGGCCACCCTTTGACACGCTTCACCACGCCACTGCCGCGCTGGGCTTTGCCGGGCGGGGCGGGGCCAGCACCGGGTCAAAGGACAAAGGGTCCACCGCGGCGCCACCACACAACACAGCGGTACCGACGGGTACCCCGACGGGCGACCCCGCCGGGCCGTGGCGAGCCGAGTGAGGCCGGCCACCCTAACCTCACCGCCTGGCCGCGCGACGCAGGGCAATGCCTGCTGGAGCGGAGCAGGGCGGCCTGGAGGGGCGGGGTTGGCGCGGCCGCGGCGCGGCGGTCGCACTGGCTTCGCCTGCTCCGCCTGCTCCGCCGCGACGCCCTAACCTCACTCTTGGCTCGCTGGCGGCTCGCGCCGTCCCCGGTGTCCAGTAAAAGCGCCTAGACGTCGCCAAAGGGCCGCTGGAGTGCCGCCGGAGGGCCGCCGCAGTCGCGGTGGAGCCCGTACACAGTCACCCTGGAGCGGCCTGGAAGCCGACCGGGGGGCGCAGGGCAGGGCAGTGCCCCGACCGTGTTTGACAGACACCGCCACAAACACCACCGCCGCCTCGCCTCGCCGCCACGTCTCGCACGGTGTGTGCCTCTCACCCTCTCACTCACTCACTCACTCGCGGCGTGGAGCCTCACATCGGGCCAAAGTCCGGGAAATTCCCTCAACGGTTCACGACACTGCGAGCCCTTCGCGTTACAGCTCAAGGTAGCGCTGCTGCAGCTCCAGGGAGCACCAGCCTCCGTGACGTCACGGTTAGGGGGGAGTGGCGCGGGGCGGCGGGGGCCCCACCCTCCCTGCCGTATCCCTGCCGTGCCGCGTCGCGGTGGCGGCGGCAGTGGCGCGTCAGATCGATAACACCGCGCCACGCGCCGCCACGCCGCCCCACATCCAGCTGCCCGCCCCGCCCCGCCCCGCCCCGCCCTGGCCGGCCTGCCCTAATCTCGAAGCCGCACCCATACAGTGGCGGCCTGGACCGCCTGGACCGCCTGCCTGGGCCTTTTCCGCCTACTCAGTCTTCCAAGGAGCAGCCCACCCCTTCGGCCACAGAGAAAACACCCCGGCAGGGCGGGGCGGGGCGGGGCGCGCTCGGCTCGGGTCCAATGCCCTTACGTCCCGCCCCGCCCCGCCCGGCTTCCTCCCCGCCGCGCCCCCGCGTCCAGGACGACACATCCTGCAGACAGCCTGCTTGCCCTGCTTGCACAGACACTGACCTAGCCGATCCCCGACCGCGATAAGGCGCTCATCAGCAGCCTTCGTCCTGCGTCCGTTCCATCAGCACCACGCTGCCATCAAAGCGGCCGAGCTCATACACTGGAACTAGCGAATTTCCGTGACCGGTACAGAACCACTCGTCCTGCCGAAGAGGCGAACTTCCCTCGGGCGGAAGTCGTGGCTCGGCGCGCCTTGGTGGCACCCGGCAGAGTCCTCTCGTCTGCCTCTCTCGCACCGCGACGGGACGCACCGCGAGAGCGACAGGGACAGGACACGTCTCTTCGGAATTGCTCGGCGGTCCGGTGGTGGACGCACCCCAGCTGACGTGACTGGCCGGCCGGGGACGGAGGGGTTGGGTCGAGAGGGGGGGGGGGCTTCGCCGCCGCCCCGCGGGCCACACCCAGTCCGCACCCAGTCCGCACCCAGTCCGCATTGCGTGAGAGTGTGCGCCATTCGAAAACGTTTAGCACAATCGGCGCGGTGATTCCATTCTCCCCGTTTCATGCATTATCGCCGAAGAGAGCATCACCCGACCACGGCCCATGCCAACGCACACAAACGCACACACACGCACGGGGGGCCAATGGGCTCGCCCCAGGGCTCTCCGATTTCCCACAGGGTCCGCGCCTCGCCTCTCCCTTCGAGGTATCGGCTCAGGCACGCCACGCCACGCACGCGCCCCCAAGCAGAGAACATACACGCAGAGCTCGACACACCGGCAGATTCAACAACACGGAGCGAGGGATTCAAGGAACGGGGAGGGGGGCGCTCTGGGGAGCCGTACCGATGCCCGCCCGCCGCGGAGTACTCGGCACTGTTTCAAGCGGTTGTTTGTCCCGACACTCGAGAAGCAAGTCGATCCGCGGGGCGGCAGCGACGCAGTTCCAACTGCTTTCGCCGCTTTCCTCGCAGCCAGTCACTCCTTCCTGCTATTCTTCAATCTGCGCGTCGAATCTCGCCGCCGGAAGCGGAGGGGTAAAGTGGCGGCAAGCGGCGCAGCGATGCGGGAAAACAATATCGGGCGTGAAGGTGCGAAGCGAACGCAGGCACCGCCCCGCCAGGCGGACGGGCTGCCTGCCGGGCTGCCGGCAGGTGGCGCCTCCGTTCAAACGTGACTGCGGATGGCGACGCCGCGCCGCCTTGCGCCGCGGGGACGCTCGTTTGACGTTTGACCCTAATGGAAACGGAATGGGGCCAGTGGGCAGCCGGGGCACGCGGGGCAGACGGGGCAGCCGGGGCAGGCACAGAAGGAAATTAACAATTTGCCAGTGTCGGCTGCTGGCGAGCCCGGCGGGTCGGCCTGCGAGCGTGGTGGACGCGCCTGCCAGCCAGCCGACCAGCCAGCCAGCCAGCCGACCAGCCAGCCAGGCAGCCAGGCAGCCAGCCAGCCAGCCAGCCAGCCAGCCAGCCAGCCAGGCTGCGTGCTCGAAAAGATGAAAATGGGATCAGAGCGGCTAGAGGGCGAGTCTAGGAAGGAAGCCTGTCTCGAGGACCAATCCAGGCCGCCCTGGGCCGAAGGCCGAAGCCTGCCTCTGGCTAGAAGCAGATCAAGGGAATCAAGGGCGAGCCCGAGAGCACTACGCGCCAGGCCGTGGTGCGCGGTGCGCGCCAGCCTGATCTCAAGGAGGCTGAGCCAATGCGGAAAATTGCCCCGGAACGTGGGCTACACTCTCCAACACAAAAGTTGCAATTTCTTTTCTTCTTGAGTGTTCTTGCGCACGAGGATGAATCACTGACAAAAGCAGAATGCTCGTCAAAAATAAACCGGCATGCCAATTTTTTTACACTTTTTCTGGTCTAATTTTTTTTTTAGGGGAGGCGTGAAGGAAGGAAGAAAGGTCCAGCGGAAGGATGCGTCCATAACAGACTGCTGGCCCTATTGTTGCGTCGTTTTCCCGGTCGCCCGGTGAAAGGATAGAACTGCTTCCTGGGGCGGGGCGGGGCGCTCCGGGATGGGGTAGGATCGGGACTGCCCCCGCCTGAGCGGGCACCAATGCCTGGAATGATCGCCCGCTAGATATCACTTACAGCGGGAAAACGGCGGCTACCCGGACATATTGAAGGCCCTTGAATGGTCTCCCCCCTCCCCTCCCCCTCACCGCTACACTCTGCTCCGCACTCCAACTCGATCCGCGATCCCCGTTTTCGAATTATCCCATTCATCGCCCGGCTTTCAGTCTTCGCGCAATATTTACCACAACGCCCAATCAGCGGCAGAGCGATTCAGAAATAAAGTACTGGCCGCGCAAATATTGGCTCAAGAGAGACTGGTTTTGTTTGAGAGAAAGAGAGAGACCAAGAGGCGCGGGAAAGAGAGACGCGCCGCGGCGCCCTGGAACGAGGGAAGGCAGCGCAGTGGATATACCCCACGCGCGGAACGGGCAGAGTCTCTGCGGGCTGGAGTACTCCCGCGGCGACAGACCGGAGTATCGACAGCCTCCGCGCTGGATGAAGCCGCACCTTCACCAGAAATTCTTGAAATAGTCTGTTGTCGCTCACCTGGAAACTTGAAGTAGGAGATCTTCCTCTTGTCGTTGGCCTGCTGCAGGATGCGCTGCACCTCTCCGGCCTCGCTGCCGGACTCGCTCTCGGACAACGTGAGCTGGCTGAGCTTGGCCGCCGTCATGGCCGTCATGGCCGTCATGGCCGTCATGGCCGCGCCCCCGGGGCCCCTGGGGATGGGGGGCAGCGGCCGGTCCGGCGCCGCCGCCATGGCCATCATGGTCGGGGTGGCGCTCTGGGCCCGCGGGGGCAGCCCCGTGCGCCCGTAGATCCGGCCGCCCTGCCGCTGGCCGTAGGGCGACGACGCCGTGCCCAGAGACGTGCTCGCCGGCGACGGCGCCGACCCCGCCGACGTGTTCGGCGAGGACCCAAAGCCTGGTCCCGACGGCGGCTGCGACGGGCTGTACGCTGAGCCGGGGGACGCGCCGTTGGGCGGCCTGGTGGCGTAGGGCGTCGACGGGCTGCTCGCCGAGCCGTACAGCGCGGCGTCCGACGTCGGCGTCCTCTGCTGCGCCGCGAACGGGCTGGGCGAGGCCTGCTGCCTGGTGCCGTACACCCCGTTGCCGAACGCCGTGTTGGCGAACACCGTGGGGCCGTACTCCGAGGCCGGCGACGGCTGCGTGGAGCCGTAAGTACTCGTGGGCGACGGCAGCGCAGGGTTGTACGCCCCGGCCCCGGGCGAGGCCTGATTGCCCTGGCTGCCCTGGTTGGACGGGGAAGGCCCGGGCTGCTGCCGAGTGCCGTACACTACCGTCGGCGACTGCAAGGCCACGCCGTAGACTCCGGAGTTTGGCTGCTGGGTGGACCCGTATACTCCATTCGAAGTCGGCTTGGTGGATCCGTAGACTCCGTTCGATGTCAACTTTGTGGAGCCGTACACTCCATTAGATGTCTGCTTGGTGGATCCGTACACTCCATTTGATGTCTGTTTGGTGGAGCCGTACACTCCAGAGGTGGGCTGTGGCGTGGTGCCGTACACCCCCTGGGACGCAGGCTGCTGCTGCGACAAGCTGGCCGCCCGCGAGATGCCGTTCAGGTCTGGAGGGGTGGGCATGGTGTAGTTGACGTAGGTGCCCTCGCCCGGCGACACAGTGTACTGGTTTGCATAGATCTGCTCCGCATACCCGTTGCCGTGGCCGTTGGCGTAGTACGACGGCGAGTTGGGCAGGAACACCGAGTCACTGCTGTCGAGACGCGAGACCCTGGTCGGGGGCGTGGCGGCGTGCCCGTTGCGGGTCGGCCAGCCGTCCCCGTTGGCCTGCCCGGCCTGCCCGTTCGGCGTGCTGGCGTACATCGGCGAGGTGGCCGACGAGAAGCTCACCCTCTTGGGCAGGGTGGGCGGCGGCGTGCTGGGCGAGGCGGGCTGGCTGGGGTGCAGGCTGCCCTTGCGGAAGATGGGGAACAGCGACTTCTTGCCGCCGTTGGCCTTGGCGCTCTTCTTGGCGTCCTTGGCGTCCTTGGGGCTGACCCACGCGTTGCTGTTCTTGCCAGTCCTGACGGGCACGTCGGCCTCGGCTGCCCCGGACTCGCTGTTGTGGCGCTTCTTGAGGCCGGCCAGGGCCAGCCTCTCCGGGTGGCGCAGCTCGACGTCGCCGAACTCGCGACGCAGGTCCACCTCGTCGCGCGGCGGCGTCTTCCTGGTCGGGTAGGAGCCGATGGTGTTGCGCTGCGGCCCGCCGCGCACGAAGAAGTTCATGTTGCTGCGGGGCCGCGGTCTGTAGTCCTGCGTGGTGCTGTCGCTGTCCTCGCCCGACGCGAGCAGAGGGGACCCCGGCGGCCGGCGCAGGGACTGCAGGTTCTGGTAGGTGGCGTCGCTGTCGCGCACCACGATGAACTCCTGGCGCAGCGTGCGGTCCGGCGTGCGCGTGGCCTGGTCCGTGGGGATGACCACGGGCAGCTGCAGCGGCGGCGCGGACAGGCGTCCGGACCTCCCTGGCGCGGGCGGCCGCCGGGCTTCGCGCTCCAGGCTGCGGTAGTAGAAGCCGAGGAGCTCGTCGCGCAGCCGTTTCTTCTGGGGGGACGTCGCCCGGGACGCGTCGCTGTCGGTGAGGCGGCGTCCACGCGGCGCCCGGGGCTCGGAGGACGCCCAGCCGGGGGACAGCTGCGACGGCGTGGACACGAGCGTGGACGTGGACGAGTGCGTCGAGCTGGACGTGTCGACGTGGAGCTCGCTGAGGCGGGGCGCGGCCGGCACGCCGCCCTGGCCGTCGAGGTGCCTCTGGATGGCGCGCGCGTAGTGCTCTAGCGTGGCCTCCTGCACCGATCGCGGCGGCGGCGAGGTCGGAGTGACGCCGTCATGCCGCAGTCGCCCTGGCGGCGGCGCCGACGCGGCGGGGTCCGGTTCCTCTTCCCAGAGGTCCTTCCGGATCTCGTTGAGCCGCTCCTCCAGCAGCTGGGAGCGCTCCGGCGGCGTCCTCCCCGGCGACGTGGCCGGGGACGGTCTTGTGGGGCTGAGGCTGCTCGGCCGCGGCGACGGGGATGCCGGGGACGCGGCGAGTTCCCGCGACGGCCGTCCGGACGGCGGGGGCGTGTCGGTCGAGGGAGGCAGACTCGTAGTGCGCGGCGCGGGCTGCGGTTTGGGCGGCCGGGGCTTCGACGCCGTGGTGTCGGCTGCTGTCCCCGTGTCGCTGTCGCTGCGCCTCGTCGTGCCCGTCACCAGGTTCTTGAGCAGCTCGGACAGGCCGTCCTGCGGCGCGTCTTTCCTGGGTGACCGGACGGGGGACTTCTTCTTGGCGACGACTTCCTGCTTGACGACGAGCACGTCCTTCTTGGTGGGCACGGGTGGCTTGTTCGACGGCGCTGGCTTGTCCACGACCTTCCGGGCCCAGGGTCCGTGCAGCGGCTTCCTCTCGACGGCCTTCTTGGGCGAGCTGGGGACGGCGCTGGGGACGGCGCGCGGGGCCGCCTTGACGGGGAGGCCGCTCAGGAAGGCGAGCTTGACGCTGCTCTGGCCCTCGACGTTGGACACGTCGAAGACGGCAGCGGGCTTGCCGTTGGGCTGCTTCTTGGCCTGCTGCTTCACCTCGACGCCGCTTTTCGCAGGTAAAAACGGGGAGGGATGATCTGGGCCAAGGTCGAGGTCAAGACCGGGGTCAGGTCGGGCGAGCGGTGCGGGCGTGGCGGCGTACTTGCTCTTGAGCGACTCGATGGTGGTGGGGCTGAGCTTGGTCACCAGGTTGCGCTGCAGGTTCTCGATGACGCTCTGGCTCTTGGCGAGGCGCGAAGACACACTGTCGGCGACGGTCGTGGTCGCAGTGCTTCCGTTGGGTACTCGGTGCGGTGCTGCGTGCGCTGCCTGCGGTGCTGCCGAGACACTCTCAAGACTTTGATCGCGGAACGGGTTTGCCTTATCGCCCGGCCGCGGCCCGTCGTGGAAGGTGGCACTGCTATCTGGCCGCGCCGCACTATCACTGCTGCTGCTGCCACTGCTGCTCGTGGACTCGGGGGGCTCATCGGGCGAGGCTGGCAGGGCGGCCGGCGCGGACGACGCCGCGGGGGGCGAGGGCTGCACCGCGAGCATGGCGGCGGCCCGAGGGGGCCTCGGGGGCCTTGGGGGCCGAGCGGCGCGGCCGGGGCCGCACTACGGCCTGCGCCACCTGCAACACAACAACAGAAACAATTAGAGCCTGGTCGCGGCCACGCGCGGCTGGGGCCTATCTGGGCCACGCCGCGCGCGTGGGTCAAGTCAAACAGTGGCATGGTCTAGGGCAGCCCGGGGTGTGGGAACAAATCGGTGCAGTGTCTCCAGTCGCCTCGAGTTTAAGGGCGGACAGCAGCCCCGCCGCCATGCCAGTTGGGTTGCCTACCCTCTTCACTGCAGGGGCGCGGTGAGCAGGCGGCCAAACTCGCAGCGATCCGAAAATCAACAAGTGCTCGTTCGGGAATAGCCGGCTAAAAAGGGATTAGGGACAGCGCGATAGCGCGCGTCCTCGTTGCCGGCCCGCCCCGCCGCGCCCCGCCAGGTGGGGCCGCCGCTCCCACACCCTTCGCCTTCGGGCCTTCGGGCTTCAATGGGCGGGCAATGCGTCGTTGTCGCCATCCCACAGATAAGCCTTATCTCGGTCAACATTGCGCGCTCGCTTGCGAACCGAACCGACCCACGCGACCGTCCGAGCGATCGGTTCAAAACACGGTCCGAATTTGACGAGCCAGCGGGAACGGACTCGACCGGCAACATGACTCAGAGCGTGGCCATCATGGGGCTGGAGAACGCCTGCAGACGCAGCTCTGCCGACGTGAGTCAGGTCGCTGCGTTGTGAATCCCTTGGCCGGCGGTGCGGTGCGCTGCGCTGCTGCCTGCGCCGTGACTGACTTTACTGCCACGCTTTTCCCAATATTTACGACCGACGAGAACTCGTCCACTCGGCCCCGAGCTCGGCCCTGGGGTCTCGACAGTCCCGGTATTCTGACTCCAAACGGCTTGCAACTTTTTAAAAGCCCCGCTCTGCACTGGCGCTGGAGCGAGCCTGGAGCCTGCTGGGCCGAGTGAGCCGCAGTGAGCCGAGTCTGATGCGAAGGCAGCCCTCCCGAGCAAAGCCGGGCTATACGGCATACGACCTCGGTGCAAGAAGTGTGTCACACATGTCACAATACGGGCGCTGAAAAAACTCGCCCCTACAGTGTATGCGCCGCTAATTTCCCATGTTTCCTCTTTTCCCAGAACGGGGCCGCGCTGTCGCCTCGCTCCATTTTGCTGTTCGTTCGTTCGCGCCCTGCTCTATTGCCACGGCGCCGCCATCGCCGAGGCATCATCATCGCTAGGCCTCTCCGCGGCGCCGGCAAAATAAGAGTTATCAGCGCGGTGACATTCTTGTCTGTTGTTTGTTTGAATGCCTGTCTGTCAGAAACTCTGTCTCGTTCTGTCTGTCTGTCTGTCTGTCTGTCTGTCTGTCTGTCTGTCTGTGTGCGTTCGAAGCAGCAGACAGGTCACAGCGCGGCCCGGCTGGGTGTGAAGCCGGATGCGACAAGGACAGGGAGAGGGTTAAGCCACAGCAGCAGACTCCGACGGGTCGTCTCTAATGCGATATTGGTCCGCACTGAGCCTCGGCTCGGCAGCCTGGGGGACTCCGACTCCGGGACACCCACGTCGAGGAAACCCTCGAGAAGGCGTCGGAGAGGCGCATCTAGTTCCCACGGCGAGGCGGTGATCGCACTGCGGGTCGCATCGCCGGACGAGGGGGCCACCACTCTCATTTCAGTCGTACACAAGATTACGGGATTACGGGATATTTACCAGGGATTACGCGCGAAATTTCGAAATTGGTCAAAACGTTGAAAAATAGCTCGAAAACGTTGGAAAATGACTCAAAACGTTGAAAAATGACAGAATTTTGTCAAGGATTACGTGATTACGCCATGGATTACCAGCAAACTTGTACACAGGATTACGGGGGTGGTGGCCCCCTCGTCGCCGGAGAGACGGAATGAAGCCCTGGAGCCGGCACCGCACTGTTTGTTCCCGTTTCGGCTCCAGCCGCTCCAGCCGCTCCAGCCGGGGCACACTCTGGATCCAGCGATAGCGGACCCGGCCCGGGGAGACCTGACCTATGACACGGCGTGTTGCGTATCGCATCCTCGGCCCAACCGGTTCAGCGTTGCGAAGCCTGGCGAAGCCCAAGCCTCGCGGCACGGCACCTCCACCTCCACACACCGTGGGCCCTCGAAGGGCGAGGCGAGCCGCCGCGTGTGGGAAAAGCATTTCAAAGACAAACACTGCAAGCGCACGTTATTTTTTTTTTCGCGAAATGCGGTGTGGGTTCCACAGCCGCGTAGAAAATAGGAGCCACGCTGCAAAGCTACGGTACTGTGCAGCTGGAAGGGAGCAGCGACCGCGGCTAAGTGTCAGGTGACCTGTCCGGCCCAGGCGCGGCCTGGCCTAGGCCTATAGGGCTCGACTCCGGCCTCCAGCGAGTGGCGCGGCGTCGACGTCGTCGTGCCTGTGCCCTCTCGCATCGCGCCTCCGACGACTCGGTCAACAGCCCCAAACCGGTGCGCTCGCGCCGTGTGTGTGCGTGCGTGTGTGTGTGTGTGTGTGACAGGCCGTCTCACGCAACGCTGGAGCGCACTTCCACGTTGAGCGCGCTGGGCCGTCGGCTGCCGTCGGCCGCCATCCAGGACTCCCAACTCAATTACATGCAGCGAGTCCACCTCATCATCAACTGCAGAAAAAGGGTCGTCGTCGTGAGAAAAATAAATGACCGCCACCGCATTACGCGCGTCTTACACGCGTCTCCGTGGTTTTCGGGCCCATTTGCCATCGCGCGACGTCAAAATAAAGCAACGCGACGCCGCCGCCGGCTGCGGCGGGACTCGAACCCGCGGCCCTCGATTTGAGGCTCGCACCGTAACGCCGGCACGTCGCTGTACAGGGCCGTAAGCCGCGCGCACACAAAGAGACGAGCCGAGCGGCCCCAGCCGAGTCCAGCCGAGGCTGGGCCTCTAGCCGGGCCGAGCCGAGCCCCGATGAGCCTTGAAAGGCCCTGAAGGCCTCCATCCTCGAAGGGCTCCATCCTCTTCCCCTTTCTTCGCGTCGCATGCAGATCGTTTACGAGCCGTCGCGCTGCAGCGCGCTGGGGTACAGCCGCGGGCACGCGTGTACGCACACTGGCAACCGCGCGACACGCGTCCCCGCAGAACAAGAAGAAGAAGAAGCAGAAAGCGAGATGAAGAACAAAAAGAAAAGCCTAATTTCCTGGCGCCGCGCCGCTTGGACGCCCCGATGCATTAAAAGCAGATAATGCCGCCTAGGCTTGGCCAGCCAGCACCAGCCAGGCCGCCTAGCGAATGGCGGCTGGATTCCAGTCGCCTCATCACTCCAGCACGCCACCAGGCTCCATATTCATTCATTCATTTACTTAATTATTTATTTGTTGCGGTGCTTTGCACTCTGCATTACACGTTGCTTATGCATCTCCCCGCAAATTCGATGTCGACGAGGTTCGCTCCGCCTCGCCTACGAACGCCATGGCGGCACGTGCAGAGGTGACGGGCAGGTCACATCGTGCCTGCCTTGCCTCGCACCGCACCACACCGGGGTTCAAATACCCACTTTCAATTTATTTTTTACAATATGTTTTTTGAAAGATTCGTGTTGTTGTTAACAACACAACACAAAACATTTTATTTTAGTTTTTCAGTGCGCACGACGTGCATAATCGGCCGAGGCTGAAGCCACGCCGCGTGCGCGGGGGCGGCGCGCGTGCTAGGCGTGTCACTCGTGCCACTGTGTCACGGACTGACGAGTCACGCCCCGACGAGTCACGGCGCCACGCACTGCAAGGCGGCAAGCCTGGCCGTCGCCGCGCTTCAAAACGTCTTCCTCGGCCGCCTCCGCCGAGTGCAGTGTCTCGGTGTCGTTCCCTCGTCTCCGCGGCCGGCCTGCCTTTTGCGGGGCACTTTCGCGCCGCGTCCACGCAAGGAAGCTGGTCGCGGAGCCGCACCTGCGGGACGTTGACGTGACCGCCATCAGCATACAGTGGCGGAGCGGCGGGGCGGCCAACGGGCGGCCCGGCAGTACGGCACAACCATACGTCTCGGCGTCGCATGCCCGATTTGCAAGTCTAAGGCGGGTGTCGCTGCTGCGCTCTTGGAGGCGTACCGGCGCGGCCGGAGGGCGGAGGGCACGTCGGCGGCGGCCCTTTTGTCCGAAGGGCCGAACCGAAGGGCCGAACGGCCGAAGGCACGCCATCAACACGGAGAAAAACGGCTAGCGTCGTTTTATGCAAAAGACGGCTAACAATTCATCTCAACCGCCGTAGCAAATTTCTTTATCCTCCTCTGCGAACGGAGAAAATTATTCAAAGAACCCGTCCACTTGGTGAAGGGCCAGAGGCGGGGCTACACTATAGATATAGAGTCGCACAGCCACTGTTAGAAAGCACGGCGCAACAGGTCAGTGCAACAGATAAGGCTCTGCACGCAAATGAGGCTAGCCTGTCCACTGCTGCCAAATCAGTCCGGCAGATCCGCTTCAAACCGTTACACATTTCAGGGCTGCCAACCATCATCGGTAATCTAAGGCAACGGGCGGTAAAGATGTCACGGACGAAATCACTGCACAGCCTATCGAATGGCGATCACGTCCCAGCTATGTGTGTGTGCTTGTGTGTGTGTGTGTTCGTTAAGTGCGAAACGTGAAAGAGCGTGTCATTGCCCTTCGCTCCTCTTTCTTGCGCGCGTTCCCCATATCGCCGCCTGGACAGCTCCACGTCGTGAGCGCCAGGCCTCGCGGCAAGCTCGACCAATCCCGAGCCGAGTCCCAGGCACAATGGGGCCCGCTGATTGGACGCAGGGCTGCTCGCGTCCACCGTTAATTTGACGAGCCCCCAATCAAAGCGCGGTGCACGAAAGCTGGGGCAGCTTCGGCGCAGGACTGCGACGGCCGCCAGTCGGCCACTCGGAGACGCTTTGCGTGGAATCTCGAGTTTTTCCTCCCTGAGGCAGGTGACGCGGCG